TCCCTGACCTTCCAGAGTGCTTTAGAATAGCCCTCCAGACATATACAGTAGACCTATCTGGACTGCGTAAAACCTCGACAGGGAATAAGATGTCGAGGTCCTGGTGTTATTTGTCAGCCCTCCTGGGAGGTCAGGGTATCGCTCCCCCCGCCCCCGGAACCTCGCACCTCGAGGCCTCTGGAGGCGCCCATCTCTGGGGGCGGAGGGGCTCTCGGTCGGATCCGCCGTCCCCTGAGATCCGCCGTTGCAGAACAACTGCAACATCGCCAGGGAACAGATCACGACCTGCGCCCCGGAGCCCCTCTTCCTGCGCGTCCCTTTCAGAGCCGGGTCGACCTGTGAGGGTCCCGGGGGGCCCGAACTTTGGCGAGCACGCCCGTGGCGTGAAAAAGTCGCTGCGCCAGGATCTCAGGGCCGGGGGGCGCCCATTCTCAGGGGGGCCGAGGGGCTCCCAGTCGGAGCCGCCGCCCGTGCGTCGGTCGGCGGCCCCGTCGCCCGCGGCGCCGCCGCGCGGCGGCCCGCGCGAGGCCCGAGGCCGCCCGCGGAGACGCCGCAGCGGAGCTGCTGCGGTCACTGCTGGCGCTGCGGCGGCGCGGCCAGGGCGAGGCCGCGGGCCCGCCGGGCCGAGCGCCGCGCGGCCGGTCGTTGCGTCGGGCAGGTCCCTCGGCAGGAGGAGTACGGCAGGTTCGTGCGGCGTCGGCGCGCGCAAAGGTTTTTGACACCGCGTCGATCGTTCAACCTTGAATCGATCGCGGCCCCGATCGTTCAAGGTTGGATTCCGTCGGGCCCAATTGCGTTATCGTGTCCCTCGGCGCTTCCACGTCGCAGAATTCAACCTGGAACGCCTTCGCAGGCGTCGCCGGCGCGCCAACGCCGCGCGAACCTACCGTATGCAAGAGTAGTTCCCCAATCAGTGCCTGCACGGACGGGGTCCTAGCGGAAATTGAAGCATTTGGCGACAGTGGCCCGCCGATGTTGGTGGCCGGCTGGGTTCCCGGGTTCCCCGTTCCGGGTTCCCGGGGTCCTGGTTGTTGGTTCCGGGCCGACTTCGGTGGGTTCCGGGTTCCCGGGTTCCCGGTCGATCTCCTCATGGCGATTTCTTTATCGGTCCCATCTTAAACCATCCATTGATTGGGTTGTAATATAAAAGGGTCGGGGTATGATACTTTACATAATTGTTCTTGATTATGTTTGAGTCTTGTTTCGTTATTTGTTCATTGTCTTCCAAAGCCCGCTTGGTAGGAGGACATGCCCGACCTAAGCCGAGCGGCGGGCATCGCCATGAAGATCGGTCGGGTATGTCCGAGCCTGTTAGTGATCTGGTCGGCTACACGTAACTACGATTGGCATTTCGCCGGAGTGACCTTCCCAGACCCCCGTCGAGTCATAAAAACATCACGACGCGATGTTTTCTGCCGATTTCGGACTCTGGGGGCCTTCACTGGACCGTCAACAACGACGCAGGATCTAAAGCCGGCCCCGTGGAATGGGTCCAGACCTCTGGGGGTCGCGTCACGACGCCGGGGTTATGGGAACCCAGACCCCCGATGTCATGATTTGTGTTTCGACCCCCGAAGGTCCGGACCCATTCCCCGGGACGGGCTTCTCATCCCGAGTCGTTTTTGGACGGTCCCGAGGCCCGGTAAGGGCCCGCAGAGGCCGAAAATAGCGAGAAAGCTCGAGCTTTCTAGCTATTTTCGTCGTCGTGATTTTTTCGTGACTTTTTTCGTCGTCGTGATTTTTTCGTCGAGTCACGAAAAAATCACGACGGGATCCCGTCGTGATTTTTTCGTGACTCGAGGGGGTCAGGGTCCCCAGATGCCTGCACGCGAGGCGACAGCAGCGGCCTACGCGCTCGGGTTCGGCCTCCCCTGTGGCCCCCAGAAGTCGCGCACCGAGGGTCACTCTTGCCAGAGGTCATGCTTGCGTGCAGCCCCGAAGGCCCAAACATGGTCCATAATCGCTGAAAGCCAGATCTGCCGTAGCCCCAGACCCCCTCGAGCTACGAAAAGATCACGACGGGAGCTTTTTCGCTATTTTCGGCCTCTGGGGGCCCTCACCGGCCCTCGGGACCGTCAACAAAAACGACTCGGGATGAAAAACCGGTCCTGGCGAATAGGTCCAGACCTCTGGGGGTCGCGTAGTGAAAAAAGTCATGACTCCGGGGGTCTGGGGCTGGTGCTTTTCTTCAGGTGGCGGCAGTTCCGGCAAGTGGAACGGGGTGGGGGGCATCCCCCGTACACATCACCACACCGAGTCCCACTATACACCCAGTCTCCGTAACGCCTGAATCGGATAGGGGTGATGACTAGGGGGAGGGGAGATCATTGCCAGGGCAATGATCAATGATATCTACCTGTATTTCATGGCCCCTCGTCTTCCTTCTTTCAGTAAGGTCCCTTGTCCCCCCCGGGGCCGCGCACGTTCTTCGGGTCATGATGATCTGCGGGCCGCCCTATTTGATGCCCCCGTCATGGACGCCCCCGAGAGGACCCAGAAAGCATGGCACAAGCAGAAAGATAGACAGCGTGTCCTGAGATCGACGAAGAACAGGGACAGCGGTTCTTCAGGTCGCCAAGCGGTGATCATCGCCATGAAGAAAAACATTAGAAGAAGCAGCACACCTGGATTGTTGTGATGAAGAAGAAGAAGCAGAAGTAGAAGAAGCACAAGACGGGTACTTTGCGCGGACTTCCGAAAGTTTAGAGTCCCCTCCCCCCCCGCCACCCGACCGAACGGCGATCATCGCGATGGAGCAAACCCAGACCGTCGCGTCGTGAAGAGGCAGGACGTTAGTTCTTGTGTTTGCGGGTTGTGGGGGCCTTCTCCGAGTTTCAGGACCGTCAAGAAGCAACTCGTGGTGAGCAGCTTGTCGCGGGGAAGGGTTCGAGACCTCTGAGGGGGCCCCAAATTTTTCGCAGTTTCTGTGGCCCCCCACTGGCCCCGCGAGACTGTCAAAGTAGTGATCCTGGGCTTTCATTGTGGCAAGATCAGAGCCCCAGAGACCAGGTCTATGCAGACCAGGGCTTTGCCAGATCCAGCGCGAGAGAGCGTAGAGTGAAGAATGCTTCGGCCCACGTATGCATTATTACGGGCGCGCCAGCATCCTGATTTATCAGAGCCCCCCCTCCTATGGGCCCTGGGGTAAGGAAGGCGACGGCGCAGGGCGCTGTCGACCTCCAGCAGAGACCGAGGAGGAGGCGAAGCAGGAGCCTGTGAGGAGGGGTTGCAGTTCTTGTTCGACCTTTGGTCTCAGCCGTGGTTGCATGTCAGGGGCAGCGTTCGGGGGGACAGGCTCAGGGGGGAACGCATCGACCCCAGATCGCCCCTTGATCGCCGCCATGGGGCCCGACAGCCCCCGCCCCTGGAACGCGCGGCTTCGCTATCACGGGCCTGTCGCCGATGTCTCGGCGACGTATCGTCGATTCCAGCGCGATGCCCCCCCCCCTCTTCCCCCTTCTGAGACGCCGCCCCCCACCCGGCCGAAACGTTCCGAAACATTCCGGCCCTCTCGTCTCGGCGCCGCATGTTTTGTGCACGCCGCGCTTTCTCGCCTGGATCACCGCGGCGGTTGCTGAGTTGGCTGGTTATCTCTGGCCTAACCAAAGTAGCTTATGCATGGCTTCGACGTGCCCTTTGTGGCTTGAGCAGGCGGGATTCGAGATCCGGGCGAATTGGGCTCCGCCCAATTTGCGGAGTCATCGAACCCACCCGAGCGATCTAGGGTTTCTGTCGCCCACTGATAAGGTAGGTCGTGCCGACAATGATGATGACGATGATGATGGTGATGATGATGATGATGATGATGATGATCATGATGATGATTATGATTATGATCATGATCATGATCATGATCATGATGGTGATGGTAATGGTGGTGATGATGGTGATGGTGATGGTGATTGTGATGATGATGATGATGACGATGATGATGATGATGGTGATGGTTATTGTGATGCTGATGATGATGATGATGATCATGATGATGATGATAATGATGATGATGATAATGATAATGATGATGATGATGATGATGATGATGATGATGATGATGATGATGATGATGATGATGATCTTGATGATGATGATGATGATGATGATGATGATGATGATGATGATGATGATGATGATGATGATGATGATGATGATGATGATGATGATGACTTCGGACACTTGTAGCCCACTCATGAGCTAGGTCGTGCCAGGTCTCATTCCCCGAAGCGTCCGCTGCAAACCCCCTCGCGGCGATGTCCCGGCCAGGAGGTTGGGCCCGCTCGGCCGAGCAGGGCCGCCGAGGGAGGGCCTGGGGCCGAGAAGTGCTGCAGGACACCCCCGCGCCCGCTGCCCCCCTCAGCACGGCGGCGCCGCCTCACGCGTGGGCGGCCAGAGGGCCGAAGAGAACCCCAGGGGGGCCCCAGGATGGGCCAAGCCCTTCGAGATTGCCCAAGAGGTCCCCAGAACAGCCCACGAGGGCCCCAAGGCGCCCAAAAGAGCACCCAGAGGCCCTCCGCTCCGAAGAAGCCCCCAGGACTGCCCAAGAGGGCCCCAAGACGGCCCAAGGGTGCCCCAAGACGGCTCAAGAGGGATGCAAGACGGCCTACGAGGACCCCCCCCCCCCGTGGACACGGGCGGGGCCCGGCGCCGCAGAGCGGATCCCGCGCTGGGGGGACGAAGAAGGAACAAAATCACATCAACGTAAATATTCGACGCTCCGTGCGGATCTCCTGGATCAGAGCTATCTCGCTACCCTCCTTCGGCGCACCATCATCATCACCATCTTCATCATCATCATCATCATCATCATCATCATCATCATCATCATCATCAGCAGCAGCAGCAGCAGCAGCATCAGTATCATCATCACAATCATCATCATCGTCATCAGCATCATCATAGTCGTCGTCAGCATTAGCATCAGCATCGGCAGCAGCAGCAGCATCAGCATCAGCATCATCAGCATCATCGTTGTCATCAGCATCATCATCATCATTCTCGTCCGTAGCATCTGGGGCTGACGCCAATTTCGCTTCGGAAGGCTGCGGCGCCTCTGCACGCGCGGAGGGCTGTGCCACACTGCTCCTTCGTTCACAGATCCTCCTCCCTCGCAGTGGCGGCGGCTACTGCACAGGCGTTAGCTTCGCCGACTTCCCCTTCCACTGCAGCATCGGTGGCTTGCGCCCTTCGTCCTCGTGTGCGGCGTTCTCTCCACGCTGTCCGTCGACGTGCAGATCGCGCTCGTCTGATCGGCTACATCCGGGACCGACCAGCTGGACATGTCCACGCGCTCGTCTTCGAAGCCGTTCGGACTGAAGCCAAGACTCTAGCGATGATCGCCCGCATGGCACGATCGTTGGAGCTGCATGACGGTATCATCGGGTGCAACGGGAATATCCTCAAGGCGGCGGCCCTGCACACAAGCACCATCACACTTGCTGAAACAGCAGTTTCACTCCACCAACAAGCTTGGCAACATTGCGAGGCATCGCAACTGGCTTACGGCTGAGTCTGGAAGAAGGTCCTGGGCAGAAATTGTGAACGGCAGCGCCACGAAGAATCGGGGGTTGCACCTCAATAGAGTCCCTGAGGACAAGCGTACGCTGAAGAATTCCCACCTGCTCAGCACGGACACTGACGACGACTTCGGGCACAAGGCCAGCTTCGAGTACCAGGTCGACCTCATAGAGCCGGCAACTCCTTCCAGGTGTGTTGGGTCATCCCGCCTTTCTTCGCGCGGTCCCGAAAAAAGGAGATGGACCGCGTCATGGAGTCCTTCGGAAACCGTTTGCACGACACTGTGGAGCGTCTGTTCAAGGACATGCTAAAGACCCCCGGCACGCTCCTCACGCTCAGCGGCGAGAGTGTCCAGACTGCCATGAACGCGAACTTCGTTGCGAGGGACACGCTTGGCGCCGTCACCAACAAAGTCATGGAGACGATGCTGCGGAGCTTCCAGACCAACCTCCTGCAACACCACGCCAAGAGCACCATTGTGATCGAGGAGAGTGCCACGATGATGGGCATGCAGACCAGTCCGCTGCACCATGACTTGGAGACGAAAATGGCCACCCTCGAGGCGCAGCTGGAGAGGCCCGAGGAACGCCACCTCAAAGAGCTCGACAGAGGGAAACGTACGCGTCCCCCGAGGGCCCCGAGCACGACAATGACATCTGCCTCAAAAACCTGCTCGCGGGACCCAAGTCCGAGAAGTCCAGCCAGTTTGCCAGTTTGCCACTTCCCTGGACGGCCAGCGCTTCGACACTGCGGCGCTCACATGTTGTTTCTTTCCTACCTTGCCGCCGCCTGCGGCGTCCTCACCGACGACGACTACGGCTTCTGAGGCTGCCCGCTGCCGTGCGCAAGAAGCTGTCCGAAGCCACGCGCGGCCATCATCATCATCATCATCATCATCATCATCATCATCATCATCATCATCATCATCATCATCATCATCATCATCATCATCATCATCACCATCACCATCACCATCATCATGATCATCATCATCATCATCACCATCAGCATCATCATCGTCATCATCATCAGCAGCAGCAGCAACATCATCAGCATCATCAGTATCGTCGTCATCATCGTCGTCATCACCATCCATCATTATCACCACCATCATCATCATCAGCACCTTGCTGCTCCTCAGGGGGTGGGGGCGTGAAAAGGATCGCGCTGCGGGCGTCGTGGTCTGGGCTGGAGCGGCTGCACTTCTCCACGCGGGTGGGGCGAGGGCGCGAAGATGATCGCGGGGCGCGCATCGCTGGGCGCGATGCGTTGATTTTTCTGGATTACCGCGGGGTCTGCTGAGGGGATGCTGAGGTTCTATTCGTAGTTCCATCAATATGAATATAGAACTAGATATGGATGTGTATACACATCTGGTCTCACATGTTTTACAAGAACGCCACAAGCGCCTTTGGCGTCTGGAGATCTGGATTAAGCGGCCCACGCCCACTTGACGGAGTTATCGAGCCCACGCAAGCCACTTGGGCCCCTCGAAATCTACTCATACGCTCGCTCTCGCCACGCGTAGCCGACGTAAGCATCCACTTCGGTCCCCTTGTTATCCCCCTGAGCAGCCCCCGCGGTCATTCCAGTGGGTGACCCAGGGACCCTGGCAGAGAGCCGCGAGGCAAGGCCGACGACAGAGCGTCCAGTGGCCAGGAGCGGCCGCCCGCTCCTCGGGCCGCCGCGGCGTCTGCTTTCTTCCGCTTCGCTGCAGGTCTACTCGGCGCTGGGCCAGTGGACGCCCCCGCTGGGGGGCCCGACGTCAGAGAACAGAGGATGGCATAAACACAGTTTGTCGGGGGTCCGCGAGGATTGCTCGGATCGGCGTGGAGCCCCTTGGCGGCGCTTCCGGCGCCGCCCCTGGCGCGCTGCGCGCGTCAGGGAGGGGGGTCCAGCGCCGAGCGTGGACCTCGGGCAATGTATGTTTATGCCATTGCTTGTTTCTCAAAGTTGGCTGCTGATATCTTTCAAATCCTGAACCTCCGCCGGCGTCAGGCATTTGGAATCATACGCAGGGTGCGCGGCGCCCGAACGCCATGGGCAGCCGCAGCCGCTGGGGGGGCCGCAACGCTGCGAGATGGGCGGGCAGCGCGACGTGCGCGCCACGGTGGCGGTCCTGTACACGCGCCAGCGGCCAGCAAAGCGCCCCGTGTACCGGGAAGGCACCTTGCGGGTCGCAGCAGGCTCCGCCAGGCTGTTGGATTCCGAAGGCGTCGAGATCGACGCGGAGACGTGCACGGCGGGGTTCCTCGCGCGCCTGCGGGCTGGCGAGGAGCTCGTCCTGTCGGCGCACGTGGTGCGTCCCGAGGCGCCCGCGGCACTGCTGGCTCCAGAGGGGCCCCGCCGTCCCGCGGAGGCGCTGCCGACGGCCGCGCCGCCTCAGCGGGTGGGCCCGGCGAGCACACCGCCCGCGCAGGCGTCCGGCAGGGCCCAACGCGCCGCGGAACCCGAGCAGCCCTCGGCCCTCAAGGCCAAGCAGCCCTTCAAGAAACCGCGCCTCGCTCTGCGCTGCGACCCGCTCGCAGACGAGGCCCCGCCGAGCCTTCCTGGCGGGCGGCCGCTTCTGGAGCTGCGCGCTGGCACGACGGGAGGCCACCCTTCGGGCAGTGGCCAGCCGCCGCAGCAGCGCCTGGCGGAGACTGAGGGCTCGGGGGCCGACGCCGCAGACAACGGCGGCCAGCCAGCCGAGGCTCTGGCGCCAGCGGAGCCGCGGGGAGACCAGTGCGCTGCGGAGGCCAGGGAGGGCGCCATGCTCGTGGAGCAGGCCGGAGATTTGTGGAGGGAGTGCGCCGCCGAGGACTCGCACTGGGTGCTGCGCGGGGGCGACGAGGCGTGGGCGCGCGGAGGCCGCCGCGCCATAGCCGATCTCTGGACGAGCTGCGCCGCCGAGGACCTTCAGAGACGCGGCGGTGGGGCGCTCGCACCGTCGGCGGTCCTGGGCCTCTCGGCACCAGGCGCGCGCGGCTGCGCCACTGGTGCGACCCTGCTCGCACCCTGCGTGGCCCCACTGGCAGGGCAGCAAGCGCCGACTGCGGCAGGCCAGCTGGCGACGTCCTCATCGGGCCTCCCCGAGGACGCCGCGATCCTCCCCGCGCCCATCAGGTCGCCCGCGAGGTGCCCGTCCGGACGCTGGGGGGCCACGGCGTTCGCGGCCGCCGCCTCGCCCACCGAGCCGCCACCGAGCGCAGGCGGCGTCTGCTTCGCAGCTGCGCCAACGGCGGCCGCACCACCACCGGAGGAGCACCGCCCCGAGGAGAGCAGCGACGACGAGCTGCTGCTCTCGCTCCCGGCCCCGCCGCCGCGCCCCGCGGCACTGGCAGCTGCGTGCACGCGAGGCCCCGGCCGCGGCGAGCGGCAGGGCGAGGCGCCGCCGCAGGGGCCGCCCGCGGCCGAGCCTGCCTCGGAGGACGACATGCCGCTGGCGGCTGCCGCGGGCCCTGCCGCGGAAGACGACATGCCGCTGGCGGCCGCCGCGGGCCTTGCCGCCCGGCGGCTGGCGTCTGGGCCGGGGGCCCGCGCTGCCCGCATTGGGCGCCTGGCCGCGCCGAAGCGCGCCGCGGCGCGGCCGCGGCGAGCTGGTGAAGCGCAGGCGCGGAAAGCAGCGCCGAGCGCGGGGCGGCAGGCGCCACCGCAGCCACCGCAGCCTCCTCAGCCGCTGCAGCTCTCCTTCTCGCAAGAGGCTGCCGGCGTCGGCGCAGACGCGGGCAGCGCTCCGCCGAGCGCCCTGGCCGAGAGGGGCGAGTACGCGCGCTGCTTCGCCAGCGCGTTGGTCCAGGAGATGCAGGTCCGGCTCAGCGACATCGCCGCGTCGTGGTTCTCGTGGGCAGGGGGCCCGGATTTGCACGCCGACGTTCGCGCCGTCGTACATAACCTGCTGGCAGGTCCGAGCGTAGGGCCCGACGGGACAGCGACGCTGATAGTGGGCAGGAGGACGACCGTCTCCAGAGGAGACGTGCGGACGTGCTCCCGGGGGGACGTTTGGATCCTCCTGCCACGTGGTCTGCCACCTTTGCTCTTCCGGTCCCTCTGGCGCGGGGTGAATCCCAACGGCAAGCTGTTGTGTGCTGCGATCAACGAGCCCGCGTTCTCATGGCTCGCAACGCGCCGCAGCCACGGGCCGAAGCTCGTGGCGATGCCCTCGCTCGTGTGCGGCGGCTTCTCCGCGGAGCTGTCGCAGCTGGACGCGCTCCAGGCGTTTGCGGCGCAGCCCGCGGGCGTGGACTGCCGCGCCAGCGTGGACGAGCACGAGCTGAGCCTGATCCTGGGGACCGGCGGGCCCGCAGCGCAATCCACCGCGAGGGGCGGCGGGCCAGCGCCGCAGCCCCCCGAGCCTGCGCGGGCGCCGGAACTGTCGTGGCTCAGCGCGGAGCAGGGCGCCGTGGTGCAGGCGGTGGCCCAGTGGGTGGACAACGAGGACTGGACAGGCCTCGGGCTGCGCCCGGGCAGCCCCCCCCCAGGTAGTCCCCGCTGGCCTAGGCAGGCCCCCGACGAGGAGGTCGGGGGCCCCCACACGGTGAGGTGACTACACCGTGTGGTGAGTCAGTGGGGATTCGGTGCCACCGCGCGGTTCTGGGACTCGCGACGTTCTCCGAGGACGTCTTGGGCGATTGGGGTTCCGAAACCGTGCGGCGACTGAGCGTGCGGTGGATCTTTGGGGATTTCGAGATCACCGCACGTTCTATCACCCCATGGTTTCGGGACCCGAACTTGTCCCAGCTGGCCTGAGGCCCCCGAGTGGTCTGGGGCGGTCTCAAAACCCTGCGGCCGCCTCCGGCGGCGCCCTTGGGGTTCTCTAGGCCCCAAGGTTAATGTGTTAAGACCGCCCCGGACTACTCGGGTGGCCAGGACTACTTGAGGGGGTTGCTGAGGCCAGCCGGGATTACCTGGGGAGGCTGTCTGTGTGCAATCCGCAGCCTCACCACCGAGGACGCGGCGCCCAGCGCCGTGCTCGTGCGCGGCGTTTTCGGCTCGGGCAAGTCCCGCACCCTGGCCGCCTGCATCACCATGCTGGACCGCGCGCTGACGGCCAGGAAGGACCCGCGGCGCATCCTGCTCCTCTGCCAGACCAACGTGGCCGTGGACACCGTGCTGCACCTGCTGCTCTCGGAGCACGAGTGGGACGACTTCGCGCGCCTCGGCAGCTTCCGCGGCGTGCAGCCCGCGCTGCTGCACCGCACCGTCAGCCTGCTCTCCACGCGGCAGGCGGCGATGAAGGATCGGGTATAGCGAGGACCCCAGGTGAGGGGACCAAGTTAGTTGTAGGGCCCCGGAGCCTTTTAAATTTGCCAGAATCACTGAATCAGGTCTGCCGTAGCTGTTTTTTTCCGGGTCCCGGCAGTTCCGGTTGTAGTGAAACGGGACGGGGGGTGGGGGGGGCAGTATCCCCCAGTACACGTCACTAAACCAGGTCCCTCTAAACCTAGTTCTGCCAACGCCCGAAAGGAGCTCAGCGAGGCCTTGGAGAAGCGCCCGCCAGGGGCGCGCGAGCAGCTGCAGGCCGCCGTGGCCAGCGGCGTGCTGCCGCCGAGGGCGGTGGTGTGGCGCCGCCGGCGCCTCGTGGCCGCCACGGCGGCCGCGCTGGACGCGGCCGACCACTTCGGCGGCGACGCGCTGCGGTGCCCGCTGGTGCTCGTGGACGAGGCGGCGCAGCTGACGGAGCCGACCGTGTTCGGGTGCCTGCGCCGCGTGGGGGCGCGCCGCCTGCTGATGGTGGGGGACCCCAGGCCCGCCGCGGCGCTCCTGGAGCCTAGCCCCGCCCCGCGCACGATCCCTTCTGCTGGCGCTCCTCGGCTGCTGGGCCTCGTGCCTGCTCGACGGGAGGTCCTCCGGCCTCGTGGTGTCCGCCGGCAGCTGCGCCTCGGCGAGAGCGTTCCGGCCCGGGTCGTCCCGGCGGCCGCTAGGCCCGAGTTGCGACCCGAGAGCCAGACTGTCTCGCGTCGTGGCGGACGGCTGCTGCTGCAAGGCTCGGGGCCTCCTGCGCCGCAGGGCCGTCGGCAGAACTGCTGGGGAGGAAGAGCGGGTCCCTGGGCAGGGATCGTCCAGGCCTCCGAGGGTCCACGCTGCCAGGCCGGCCAAGAAGAGGGGGGTGATGACCAGGGGGGGAGCATCATGACTGAGGCCCCGTGTCTTACTCCAACATGTCCCCTTCTTATTTCAATACGCCCTGGCCCGCCCCCTCGCTGAGCCTGGGCTAGGGGGCTCCGCCCACGTGGCGGAGCTATCGAACCCACCAAGCCCCGCAGGGCATCATGTGCAGCAGGCCAAAGACCACCCACCTTGCGCATCCACTTGTACCCCCCCTTCCCCTCAGCACCTCGTTAAGCCTCCCGCCTCTTCGTTATTGGATGGGGATGGTTCGGAGCCAGAGTCGGTGGTTGCTAAAGGTGCCCCTGGCCCCAGGTGCCCCCAGCTGTTTGCTTCATTTTGGGCTCCTCCCCGGACTCCCGCTTCCGCATCGACCGCGTGTACACCAACATGTACGACGTCGAATACTTGGACAGGGCATGCTCTTGCACCGCCCTCATGGCACTCAGAGCTTTCGCGCCATCGCCCCGTCAGTTTCCGGAAGTGCCTCCAGACGGGTAGCGGGGACATAGGACGCCCTATTGGTGACCAGGTTCTTGATCATCCTGATTGGCCTCGGCAAGTGGCTCTTGCTTGGCACGATCTCCTTCGTGACCGCGCTGGAGCCTCAGGTATTACCGGGCTGCAGCTGCTCAAACAAGCCATGCGGCAGGCCGAGACAGCAGTGCCCTCGCAGGGCGGCGGTGCGCCCCCTGCCGACAACTTCGAGGATCGCATTGGCGTCGCGATGAGATTTTTGAGGGCCTCGGAGGCGGGCAACCCTGAACGCGTCTCCCGGTGCTTCGAGCGGTACCCGCTGCTTCGGGATCTCGTGCAGAACCCGTACGATTCTGCCTCCCTGCCTGGCCCTCGTCTCGCCCGAGTCCGCCAGCACGCGATGGAGCTGCAGAGCGACTTTACCATGCAAGAGCTCAGCAGCCTACAATTCTACCGCAAGGACCTCGACCCAGATCAGGTGGCGCGCCGAGGCCGGAGAAGCCATCAGTTGGTCTGTCGGCTGGCCCCGGGGCGCAGCTGCCAGAGCTTTGCAATCGACACCCCGTCGGGGGAGGCGTCCGACCCGCAGGAATGCTCGACCTTCTGCGCGCGCATTGGGGGAAGGTCTTTAAGGAGAAGGGTATCGACCAGAACTTGATGAACTCGTGGCTTCGCGAGGACGCGCAGCACCTCCCTGATGACTACCAGCAGCATTTACCTAATGGCGCGGTGCCGGAGGCGACCTTCAAGAAGGCGATCCTGCTCACTGGGAACAGCTCCCCCGGTCGGGACCGCATCCCTTTCAAGGCATGGCGTCAAGTAGCTGAACTCGCCGCCGGTGCCTTTGCGGCCGCCTACAGGGAGCTTGTCGCCGCGGACGGCCTCGACGGAGTGCGCGCGGAGTGGGGGTCTTTCAACGAGAGCATCATGGTCTTTATACCGAAGGCAGCCACGTCGATTCGCGCAGATGGGACGGATGTCTTTTCCCTTGGCAGCATGAGTCGGGTACGGCCAGGACCCCGGGTAAGGGGACCCGGTTAGTGGTAGGGCCCTGGGGCCCCCCAGTTGGCCTGATTCATTAAACCAGGTTTGCCGTAGTTTGTGTTTTTCGGGTGACGGCAGTTCGGTTCGTGGAAGTGGGGCGGGGGTGCGCCCCCGGTACAGATCACTAAACCAGGTTCCACCAAACCCAGTTCTGCCAATGCCCGAATGATCCGCTGAACATCACGAACACGGACAACCGGGTCCTCTGCAGCGCCGTTCGCATGCAAATCGAACCGCAGATTTCACCCGGGGTTTCGGAGGAGCAGCGTGGCTTCCTTCGCGGGCGGTCCATGCTCGCGAACGTTTCGGACATCGAGGAGGCCATGACCGAGAACGCTTTCACCCAGGACTTCCCCTCTCGCCGTCTTCCTGGACTTTGAGTCCGCTTTCCCCAACGTCAGCCAGACTTTCATCCAGCAGATCCTGGCGTCGAGAGGGCGGCCTTCGTGGTTCTGGAACTTCGTCGCCATGCTCTACGACAACAACTACTGCTACCTCTCGCTGGGCGGATCCTGCGCAGAGGGTTTTGGGATTACTACTGGGGTGCGCCAAGGATGCCCTCTGTCATCATCTTCTCAAGTGTATCCGACGTCTTGATCCGCAGAGTCCGCCGGCTCGCTCAGGACGTGGTGCTGCGCGCTTACGCGGACGACATCGCGCTGGTGCTGGGCCATGGGCCAAGGCATTGCGCGGTCCTAGAGGTCATCTTCAGCGAGTACGAGTTCGTGTCCTGCCTGAAGCTGCACAGGGGTAAGGCCATCATTGTGCCACACCCGCTGCTTCCGCATGATCAGATTCGCGTGGCGGTGGCGGGCGCGGCCAGATTGTGGGCTGAATTCAATCTGGCGGGCCACGCGAAATATTTGGGATGGGGCACCGCTTTCACGAAGATGCAGGAACGGGCTCATGTGTGGAAGCGCATCGGCGGCGGCATGCTCGTATCCGTGGTGGCGTATCGCATGTACATCCGAAGGACCTCCCAGCTGGAGGACCTCCCTTCGCGATGGCAGCACGTGGAGCAGCGCCTCATGATGACGCTATTCCCCGGCGCCATGGGATGGGCTACCTCTTGTCTGTTGCAGCAGTTGGCGAAATTGGGCTTCGCGTCGGATGTACCAGATCTCGTTGCGATAGCGCTTGGCGCGAAATGCCGAGTCTGTCGCTGGGAGAATGCGGCGCAAGGCGGCTTGCATATCGTGCGCCGGCAGCAGCGCCTCTCCCAAGCGGCGGCCTACACGACGCACCTCGACTGGGTGGCTGCCTGGAGCAATTGGGTCGCCAACAGCTTCTTCTCCAGCGTGGGCCGGGCGCAGCAGCAGCTGGAAAACGCAGCGGCAGCGGCGCGCCTCAGCGTAGATCGGCTCCTGCAGGGCTCCGCGGGGGCTCCGGTTCCCTGGAACCGATGGCAGCGGCGCTGCTGTGATGTACTCCGGGTTCGTGACCTTCAGAGGCTACGCCGACACTTGCGGATGCGGTTGGACCGGTGGCAGCTGCAAATTCTACCTGGACACCGGGTGCGGCGAATGGAGGCCGCCCTCACATGCATCGGTAAGCTCGTGCTCCCCTGCGTGTGGGCCGCCTCGCTCAAAACCTTGCTGGGGTGTTGGGCTACTGATGACGCGAGCAGGAGACCCTCCCCAGGCTTGTTTGGCTGTCAGAGTGGGCAGGACAGCATTGCGCATAATGCATACTGTCCCTGCGTGGCCCGGCTGGTTCGGACTCGTCTCCAGCTGCAGCCAGCGCGGCCAGTCGGGCGAGCGTCACTTGGCCCTGCGGGCGCTGTGTCTGTACGCCACTTTCATGGCCACCAACGCCGTGCGCCACGGGCGAGCGACTGCCGCCGGCGACGCTTGGGTGCAGGCCTTCATCGAAGCAGCGGCGCGAGACTCGCCGCTTGCAGGCATGGTCAGAGCGCTCTGGAGCACTTGATCTTCGCCTTCGCCTTCCTGCAGCCACCTGTATTTCTACACGCTCGCCTTGCTGTTCTACGTGCTGGTCGTTTTCCTGATCCATCTGCTTCTGTCTTTTCCCCCTTGGGCGGTGCGTCCGAGCAGGGCGGAGTCGTTCGGCGCGAGCGCGCACCATCTTCCTCCTCCTCCTCCTCCTCCGCCTCCTCCTCCCTCTCACGCACCGTCTCCATGAGCTGTTGTTGTGTTTTGTGTGCCTGGGAGGGCAGGATTTGTCCCCCGAGCTCCGGCCACATAGCTGCGGCCCAATGTCGGCCCGACCCGCGCGGTGTGATTTATTTTCTCCGTTGGCTTTCATGTGGCCCCGGCGCGGCGCAACAAACTAGAACCAAAGCGCGCGGCTGGCAGATAATGCGTTCAACTTTCCAGTCGGTCGGCCGCCGCGGCCGGCGACCGTTTAGATTGCCACAGATAGTCTGTTCTGGTAGTTCATAAGCCCTCCTATCGGCCACGCGGCTGGGACATTAATTCAGTCGTTGCCTCGTGTCGACGTGCTCGGCCGCCCCCTCGGCTGGCGGAAATGAGCGGCAACATAGTGTGGCTGTTTTTGTTCCGATCGGCTCGGGCCCGCGCCGCACAGTTAGCGGCTTCGGGCTTCAAGGTGACCGTCGTCGGCACCGCGCCTTGCAATAATTTCGGGCGCATCGGATTCCCTCCTCCTCTCTCCCTCCCGCGCTCGCCTCCCAGAGGCGGAGCTCTGGCTAGCCTTTCGGGGTGGGCCGGCTCTCCGCGTTCTCTGCCTGTCTCCTCCTCCCTCCCACCATGCACGTCGTGAAGCTGGGCAGCGCAGCCCGCATGTGTCACTTTCTGTTATCTTTGCGCCATTTGTCCAGGTTTGCTGGAGGGCGTGTGTTTATGCGCGACGCTCGGCGAGGGCGTTCCTCCTCCCTTCCCCTTTCCTCCTCCCCGCTCTTCTCCCCTCCTCTTCTTCCTGTGCACGTCGCATGTGTGTTGATACACAGTACCATGACCTAGCTACTCGCTGCTCCCGCAGTCCCCTGCGCGCCGACGGTCATACCATGGCCTCGCATTCGCGTTTGGTCGCTGCCCAGCGCCTTATTTCTGTGTGTGTGTTGTACTGAGTCGCCAACGAGCGCGACACCTTGGGAGCACGCTTTATTCTGGCCAGCGGGGCACCCAGACTCACAGGAGTCGGCTGGCGCTGACTCACAGGGCTTTGCTCAGTGCTCCTCCTCTCCTCGCCTCCTCCCTCCTCCCCTCTCTTGCCCGAGTCCGGGGGTATTGCAGGTTTTTGCCATCATCTCTGCACTGCTGCCGGCTCTCTGGCACGGGGGTGATACGTTTTCTGGCGAATTCGTAAATTGTGTTATCTGATCGTTTTCTGCGTCCGTTTCCTCATTCTTGGTGAGGAAGAAAACGGCTTTCAAGCGCAACCGGCATTCGCGTTACGACGGTGGTTCTTGAATCATGCGGTCCGCTCCCATCTTCTCCCTCAAAAGGGAAAATTGGAGCCCCTGGGCCCCCTGGGCCTCGTGAGGGGTGCTACGGTGGCCGTGGGGCACTTCTAGCAACACCCGAACAATAATTCCTCTGTTCCACGGCGCCCCAGGGGGGGGGGGGGGGGGGGCGGGGGGGGGGGGCGGGCGCCAGGCAGTTGCCGCCGCGCGCGGCGTGCGCCTCGCTGCGCGTCACGATGCTGGAGCGCCTGTGGGGGCAGAGCCGCGCGGCCGCCCGGGCGGGCCCGGGCTCAGTATCGTTGAACCAGCCCCCATCCCCATCCCCATCCAGACCCCCACCATCCCACCCCCCAAGTTGGGCACATACTTTTCGAAACCAGCAAGAAACGGTTTATATCTCCATCTACGGGGGTAAGTCGGCCAGTGGGACCCAGGCCACGCCGTTGGGGATAGGGGCCGCATGCGAGAGGCTCACGGGCGACGCCTTGAGCGCAGCAGAGTTACGCCCACCACCCTTCCCCAGACCTCAAACGCATTGAAGAAGTCAGGGTGGGAACTGTGTTTCTGTGTTTTCGGCCTCTTGCTCTGGCCCTGCGCGCCTGGCTGCTGCTGCTGCTGCTGCTGCTGCTGCTGCTGCTGCTGCTGCTGCCCAGCTGCTCATCGTCGAACTCTTCGGCGTCTGAGCGTCCCTTCTTCCTCTCGTCCGTCCCCCTACCCGGACCCCTCTCTTCGCTCGCCGGCCACTTCGCTAGGCAGTGCCCCTATCCAGCTCCCCGCTGAAGCGGCCTTCGCCGCCCCGGCGCTGACGGAAAAGTGCTTTCGGCCTCCCGAGGGGCCTCCACGGGCCCAGGGGATTGTCGAAGGACGGCCCGGTCGGGACTTCGCTCGAGTCCGTGTTGGAAAAACCTAGACATCGCATGTCTGGGAGGCACGCCCACCACCTTCTCGCAGGCAGGACTATACAGAGAAGGAAGGAATGAGCCAGCACGAACCCGTCGCGAAGCGTTGGGGCTCCAGCGTTCCTCGAACTCGCTGCCCGGTGTGTTGCCAGCCGCTCTGCGCGCCCTCGTGGGCGGCATCCCCGCGATCTTTTACGATCTCGTGGGCGCGACAGCCAGTCAGCACAGACCAGTCACCAATCCTGTGTTTGTTTCCTGGGCTGCCCGCTCTTGCTGCCAGGCCTGCGTGCGCGCGTCCTCAGCGATGCAGAGAGGCATGCCCGCACCGCGCTGCAGGCCCGACCTCGGAGCCTGCTGCCGGCGCGCATGGAGCGGTCGGCCCGATGGGGATGTCCTCCGCCTGGGGGTGGCGGGCTTATTGGAATGGAAGGCAGTGGCTTTCTCTGAGCGGTGTGAGGTGCTGGCAGCTTGCGTAAGCCTCCATCGCGCCGGGTCGCCGTGTCATCGTGGGTGAGACCTCCTCGGCCACGCGCAGAGGAGGGTGTGGGGCAGGAGGGAAGGCTTCTTAGACGCACCCCTGCTTCTCTTAGATGGCGCGGGCCATGTCTGTAGATGCAAGGCCAGCGTTTTCTACCCCCTTGTGCGCGCCGCCAACCTCCGTCTCCCAGTCGCCCCAGGTGGAGCTGGCCACCCAGCACCGCTGCCACCCGCTGATCGCGGAGCTGTCCAGCGGCCTGTTCTACGGGTCCGCGCTGCGACACGGCGTGCCCGCGGAGCCCAGGGCAGCCGAACCCCCAGCGACCAAGTCTGGCCCCCGAGCCTCCCTTGACCCCAGGGTGACCTGGCCTCCTCCTCCTCCTCCTCCTCCTCCTCCTCCTCTCCTCCTCCTCTCTCTCCTCCTCCCCTCTCCTCCACAATTACACAATATGAAAATACTCTCCCACTTCCCCTGATGGCGTCCCGAAGATATCCGACCCCCCCCCGCGTACTGTTTTTTACACACAGGATTCCCGGGAAACGGGTTTTCGCCTGCGTTTTTTTCAAAATGTTGCTCTCGCTGAGGCGCCGGCCTCATTTCTGCTCCCGAATCGTTCCGAATCGTGCTCCCGCTGCAGCGTGGGCCTCATTTTCGGATCGGTGTTTGGCCTCCGTCGTTCAGGATGGCGTTCTCGCCCCAGCGCGGGCCTCTTTCTCGCGCGCCCATCCGCCCGCCACCACGCGCCGCCGCACCACCACCACCACCACCACCACCACCACCACCACCACCACCACCACCAACCACCACCAGCACCACCACCACCACCACCACCACACCACCACCACCACCACCACCACCACAACCACGCACACACGCACGCACGCACGCACGCGCACCACCACCCGCTACGCACGCGCGCGCGGAGCCACAGGTCCGCTACGACACGCGTCCGCGGATAGAGAAAATCAGCGTCATGGTAAGGGATGGGAGGGAGGGGTAGGACGTCAGATATGACGCGAGCGCACCTAGCTTGTCCCCCTCCACCTCCTCCACCTCCTCATCCTCCTCCTCCTCCTCCTCCTCCTCCTCCTCCTCCTCCTCCTCCTCCTCCTCCTCCCCCTCCTCCTCGATCGCCTGCGGCCCCGGGGGCAATCGTGCACGGTGACCCCGTCCTCCAGCGCTGCACATTGGCGGCCATCGGCGGTGAAATCCGAACCCTACCCATCGCCGATCGACGATGAAGGCAACTCGACGGGCGGCGGGGGCAGGGTTCGGAATTCGTCCAGCACGTGGCGAAATACGAGCCCTACCCTGTCCTCCAATCGAATCCAAAGCATCGGTGGCTGGTGAGGGTAGATTCGGATGTTGCCACCTAGCCCGCGAGAAGCTACAGACGGAAATGATAGCAAGGATGCGCGATGTGGATGCAAGCCCCTTGGACGCCTGTGTTGACGCTTTTCCGAGCGCGACGGACCATCGAAAGTAGCCAAGGGTGGACCAACCGGCACGGATGCAAGCTTACCCTTGGAAAGGCTACCCTTTCTCACCATCGGCTTCGAATGCACAGGGCAGCCGTTCTGCAGCGGCGCTGCCTCTGGCCCCGCCCTGCGGCCCCAGGGCCGCCAGAGCGAGACGGCGCGCGGCGAGAGCTGGGCTCGCGGGGGCGTTGCCCGACGCTCAGCTCGGGGGGCCCTGGGGTTCTGCCGCGCCCTCCCTGCGCCTGCCCCTCCTCCCCCTGGGCTGCTGCGATCCGTCCTCGGCGCTCCCCGTTCTCTCGGCATCGCTTCACCGACCCCCCTCCCCCCCCCCCCCCAAAAAAAAAAACAATAAAAAACATCCCCGCACCCGTCCAGACCACCACCATCTCGGCGCCCCAGTTGGGGATGCACCCCATCAGAGCCCGGAGGAAACGGCCCACATCCCCATCCACAGGGGGGTGGATCGGCCAGTGGGGCCCAGGCCACGCCCATGGGGACAGGGGTCGGTTGAACGATGGTCATTCTCGTCCTCCGCCTCTCTCTCTCCCTCTCACCTCCGCGCTGTGATGGCGTTGACGATCTGTCTCGGCCGGGTGTCTGCGATCCCCTCCTCCTAGAGTTAAGTCGGGCCTGTCCCTCTACAGAAGGAGTGTTCAAGATTAGTCCAAAAGTAGTCAGGGGACCATTTTGGGAGAATTTCTGAATACGTTTGAGTATTGTTGGTGTATTCTATATTTTCTTCCAAACTCCCCCTGTAGGGGGACATGCCCGACCCAACCCTAGAGCCGGGCACGCTCTCTGCGGCGAAGCCTCGCGGCGAGCAGCACTTCTGCTTCTGCGGGCCGCGCAGGGATTGGCCCGTCTCCCGGTTTTCCGACCCGACCCTTAAGTCGGGCCTGTTCCTCTACAGGAGAAATATTCAAAAATAGTACAGAAATTCAATGGGGACGATTTTTAATTATTTTTGAACTTGTTCGGGGTATTTTTCGGGTCTTTTAATTGTTCGTTCAAAGCCCGCCAGTAGGGGGACATGCCCGACCTGACCCGACCCTCGCCCAGATCTTGCTGGATGGTGAGTTCGGCGCCCCTAGCGCACTGGGGGGAGGAAAACCGAGCAGCGAAACATCCCCCCCCCCCAGGACTTCCGACGTCATGTTCTCGCTCCGACGTGGGCCCCTGGAGCTCTGGACCCCTGGAGGACGAGCCGTGTCGTCGCGTGCCGTCCTCTTGGCTCATTGCCCCGCGGGCCCGAGGACAGCCTGTAGCGGAGAAGCGCCAAGCCCTCGTCGGGGGGCCCCGCACGGTGTGGGAACCACACCGCGTGGTGGGTCAGTGGGGAGTGGGGGTCACCGCACGGTTTTGGGGTTGGGGTCGTTCTCCGCGGGCGTCTCGGGCGACCGGGGCATCCGAGGTCCCAAGGCCTTGCGGTGACGCGCCGCGCGGTGCGGTGCGCCACCACACGGTTTTTGGGCCCCCGAAGCTGGACGACGACAGAAAGTGCCCCAAGCCCAAGGATGTTTTGTTCTCGCGCTCGCCTGCTTCTGTGATTCGGGCTTGTCCCTCTCTGCCCCTTCCTCCCGAGCACTGGCGGCCCAGAGGGGGGCGTCTCAGAAGACATGGGCCTCCTTGCTCCTTGGAAGGACCAGGAGGCTTCTGTGAGTCCTGCACAGAAGTCGCGAAGGCTTCCAAGCGCCCCCCACCCGGCCCACGGCCAACAGGTCTCTCTTGTCTTACTAGATTGGGAAAAAGCTGCTGGTAAACTCACACGAGATGTTTTGTTGTCGGCGTTGCAGAGGGTGCGAGTGCCTGCCAAGTTGCTGAATTTAAGAGCCTGTTTCTTTCTTGCTTGGGGCATGACGGGAGTCATGGCCCCCGCTCCCCCCCTATGACGTAACGCTCCCCCCCCCCCAGTGCGCTCCGGGCGCTGCCGCACATTGGGATCCGCGTAGGTGTCCGCGTAAGAATCCGCATAGCAATCTGGTCCGCGGTCGTCGTCGTCGTCGTCGTCGTCGCCGTCGCCGCCGTCGTCGTCGTCGTCGTCGTCGTCGTCGTCGTCGGAGGGAAGGAAGGAAGGAAGGAAGGAAGGAAGGAAGGAAGGAAGGAAGGAAGGAAGGAAGGAAGGATCATCCATGCCACCCGTTCTTGCCGCGTTCCGTGGCACCCCTGAACCAAGCAGCAATGGCGGCGTCAGAGACCAGCAGGCCGAACCATGTAGCTTCACACCCGTTATCGCGGCATTCCGCTGCGCTCTTAGTTGTGACGTGTCGGAGGCTAGTGTCTGTTCACTTGGTAGCGTGCTCAGGGACACGGGGGGGCCCTGGCGGCGTCAGAAACCAGCGGGCCGAGCCTGGCCGAGATGTCGGAGTCACAAGCACGCGGGCCTCCCCTGAGCCTCACCAGGGCTCGGGTGGGGTGTGTGGGGGGGAAGGCTTCTTAGAGGGAGGGAGAGACGGAGGGAGGGAAGGGAGGGAGGGAGGGCGGAGGCGGCGCGGGCCTCAGCTAATAGACGTCAGGCCGGCGCCTTCTGAGGAGCAGCCTCCTTCCGAGAGGCCTTCCCCACTCCGCCTACCCCCTTGTTCGCCTAGACTCAGGAGGAAAAGAAACACACAGACACAATTATTCGTCGATTCCTAGAAAATATGGGAAAATATGGGAATTGGGCGGGATGACAAAAACCCAGAAAATATGGGAAAATATGGGGAACCTTTTTATTTGTGTGTATTTATTTGTGTGTCCCAGGGCCCCTTCATAGACGTAAGAGTGACCTTTCGCCGGAGTGACCTTCGGTGCGGGCCAAATGGGGTCCCCCCGGTTGCTGAGTCCGAAGCGTCGAAGCGCCAGCAGCCGCTTGCGAGCCCAGGTTTGTCCACCCTGCGTCCCCTGTCACGCCGCGCACCAGAGTTCACTCTTGCCTGGCGTCACTCTTGCGTGCGGCCGACTTGTGCGTGCCGCCAAGTTCGTGCGTCTCCGGCCCCCGCGTTCTCTCAGAATCCCCCCCCCGCCTTCTTTGTCGAAGGTTGCCCCCCTCGCGTCACCCCCTTGTGCGCAGAGCTGGCCTGCAGACGCCTTGGGATGCGCGAGCGTCTATGCTCGGCCGCGCGCAGAAGGGGGGGGGGGTCGGGGGGAGGGGGGAAGGCTTCT